TTCATAGCAAGGTGACTCAGATCAGCCTGCTGAAGACATCGAGTAATCCCTGCATGTAAGGCACGATCGCTTGGGTTCGACCAACCTCTCTTCTGCAGACCATTGTGCTTCGGACGGAGGCGAGGAGGTGGCGAGGGCTCTTGCTGGTGAGATGTGCCTACTATGGAGATTAGGAAGTGCCAGGATTTCCTGGTGACAGAGTTTTCCACGTGGCGCCTGTTGCCTTGTTAATACACACAGTCAGAAAGGGATGCAAGACCTGAATGACCTGGGCCGGGGTCCCAGCAAGGGCTCTGACATGCTATTAAACCCAGAGCAAAACCACAGGCAAAGCTACTGAAACTTGGCAAGACCAGACAGGGAAAAAAAGTTACTTAAACATTTTTCTGTCATAGAAATGAAATATTGCTCTGATTGTTTTTTTTTTTAAAAGATCAACTTCATTGTGCCTCTTTCCAGGGACACATGTACAAGGTGCTGACTTTGCATCTTGCCTGCACAAGCTGCATCTTCTTGACTCTCAGCAGAACCATGGCTGCTGATGCTCAAGATGAACTGGCTCCTTGTTCATCCATGACCTTAACTCAACTCTTGTTGACTTCAGTGGGACCATGGAATCTCCTTCCAAAAGTGGTTACTAAACATCAAGTCCAGTTGCAACCTTTGCTCAGGAAGTCTCTAATCTACTGACTGCACGAGGCCCACAAGGTATATTAGATGAACAATTGCTTCATTTACATCTCATTTACTACATGCTTTCCTCAGCTACCATTCCTAGCATTTCTCTTTCTCAATAGTTGTCAGCCCCTTCTAACAAACCTCAGGGCCCCCCTTTTCACAAAGGCTATGGAAAAGTAAAACAGGAGGAACACTTACATGGAACAGCAAATGAATAAAGGTAGGGAGTAAGAATAAAAAAGGACTAAGGGAGGAGAGAGCGCAAAGCAGTCCATAAAGCATTCAGCACTCCCTGAAAGCATCCAAGGAAGCAGCAGATGCTCCTGGGATCCTTCCCTTGGGCTTTCACCTCTTTGTGCCATTGCCGGAGAGCTTGGCTGGCCCACGGAGGCCATTAAGGAGATCCTGCAGCTCCAGAGAGTAGGCACGGAGGCATTCTTTGAGCTTTACCCAGCTTCCAAACAAAATCAATGAGTTTTCTCTCCTATCATTTCCATTCATTCCCACTGAAGTAAACAATTTCGATACTCCCAAGCATCCCTCCTGAATTAATAGGTTCTTCAAATGTCAGTGGGCTCACAGCCTTCATGACTTCTCTGATTAGAGTAAGAAGTTACATCAGCCAACTGCAGTACAAGAAAGCCCATCAGAGCCAGCTGCAGAGGCCCAGGGAGGGCTGAATTCCTATTTGGCTATTTCCCCTTGCCTTGTGTAGAGGGTCATCATTTTTCCCCATGCACAGCGAGTACAAAGCACAACCACTTTCTGATTTGGCAGTGTTTTTCCCCCCATCCAGTTTTCACAAGTGCACCAGGTGATGCAAGCAGCAGGGCCTGGGCTGGGGTATTTCTAGAAGAATTAGTATGTAAAAACTGCACCAGGCATCAATTTCACAATAAATACACTCTGATGGCAATGGAGGAGAAAAACCCACAGAAAAAAAGTGGCATTTTCAGCAGTAGAAATTTTGACTGTTACATGAAATACAAAAATAAGTTTTTACAAGATAAAATAATTGCAGTTGCCACATTGGCCAAAGTTATCAAATAAAAAAAAGAAAAAATATGGTCTATGTTGTTCTTTTTCCGGAATCTTTAAAACAATGTTAACACTTCTGAATGGACAGAGATGGAACAAGAAGAGGGCACAAGGCAAGGACAGTAAAATCTAGCCGCTGGCTAGGATATTTCCTGAGAAGAAGCAGCAAGCAAGCAAGAGCTTGCAAGTCACTTAAGGGTTCATGCAGGTGAGAAAGCTCATGGTCTGGAAACAAGGGTATGTAGCTAATGGGACGCTGCTGATGCACAAAGTCCTATATTACAAGATTTTTGGCTGGTGTATGCCTGGAGCAGAGGTCTATCACAGGTAATCTGGTTTTTCACAGGTAGTGAACTGCTGCCAACATGCCAGTGGGGGGAGGAGATGGAAGTTTCTTGAGTTGTTGGTCAAGGCAAGGCATGGGCTCTTGCTGTGGTATTAAACTTGCCCTTGTAACTTATGTGAAGGAGTTGCCTTGTCTTCCTAGTGATTTGTCTCTGTAACTATCCTGACCAAGGACAACAGCAAAGCTTAAAGCATTACAGCTGCCCTGGGGCTTGAATTGTGCATTAGCGCAAGAGCAGAGCGCCGTGATGTGTTCTGATTTCCTATCTGTGCTCCATGCCAGCACGTGGTCTCCCACAAAGCTCTACAGAGCTCTCAGGCTCCTTTCCCAGGCAGACGGTAGTGAGGGCAAGCAGAGTCATGGCTCTGCCTCCCCTCCTCAGCAAAAGCCAGCAGCAGAATTGCAGCTGCCAGCAGAAGACAGAGCGTGGTGGGACAGACTCGGTGCCAGGCAATAAGGAAGCTGGGCTGCAGGGGCAATGCAGCCGGGCTTGCTGCTGTGAACTGGGCTGGTAGATGAATAATTAGCCTGCACTGGCTGAACAGACTCCAAGCCAGTGTCCAGAAGCTCAGCTTTGTAGTTTAAAAATGCACTTGAAAACAATGGCCAAAAAAATTATTAAAAAGACAAAAGGGGGAAAAGGCTACTTTTTTGTGCAAGAGAAGAATGACTTTCAAAGAGTAGAGAGAAGCCATCGAAAGGGAGGGAAGGGGCGGAACAAACCATAAATCACTGCATGGGCAAATCTATACAGACAACTTAAACTTGCAGACCCTGCTATGCCCTAGAGAGCAATGCTTTTGCCCTGACTGGAGTTTGGCTGGGGGGCTGGATGGAGCAGTATAGAGCGGAGGCAGCACAGACATTGTGTGGACTGTTTGGCATTCTGTGTCTAGCTCAAAGTTGTCTATAACAGTAGACGCCCAATTCAAGGCTCAATGCCCGTATGTCCCTCCTTCAGTCCTGTGTTTCCAAGACATACAAGTTCAGACACAAGCTACTGTACTCAAGTGCATCAACAACTGAGCTAGGAGTTACACTAGTTCCTAATTGGCTTCAGTGAAATTCCTTGGCTTGTACCACAACAAACCTCAAAGCAGGTGACCGCAGAGGTCCCTTCAGGCATTTAAATTTGTTTGTATGATTCTCTCCAATCCACAACTCACAGCTTCACCAACACCCTGGCACACCTTAAAAGTCGTGCACACACAAGGTCTAATTTCACTTGAAATTGTATTTCCTCTTAACTGTTCCATCCTATGTCCTGGAGCTAAATGCCTGGTTACACACTCTACCCAGATTGCTGGAAACCCTAGAAAGAAATAGAGCAGTTAAGAAATTTTCTTCTGTAGGCAATTTCTTCCTCATCAGTTCCAGGTTCTGGCTTTTCTGGTGTATGTTATGAAGATGCTCTCTCCTTCCTGCAAGGTAGCATGACTGTCAGGTTGGCTCAGCTGTGTTATCCAGCACAGGAAGAAACACATTTCCTCTTGCAACTGTCTTTGCTAAGTCATCCTAATATGGAAAGGACTTGTACTTCTGACATTCTGCTGCATTGCCATAACCCAACTCGTTTCTTGGATTTTCCTCCCTGTTGTCCTATTTGTCAAAGCTCCAGCCAAAGCTTAAAAACAAAAATAAAAGGAAAGCCTCAAAAGAATATTAGAGGGAGCTACTAGAGTCAGCTAGTTGATTCACACAGCTCAGTGGAGGCTAGATTATACTGCACTGCTTAAGTAATCACATACGAGTAAGAAATTGAAACAAACAATGTTCCTGATTAATATGATGACACTTAGGAGATCCTGGGAGTGGAGGGTGGACATCCCATTGGGTAAGGAATCAAGAAAGTTGCCTGGCAATTCCAGTAATGTTTGCTACAGAAGAGTCAATACCAAAGCTAAGGCTAGCACAGTTTACTGCTTCCTATGGGAACCTGGAAAGCAAAGCAAAGAAAAAAAATCTGTAACGATAGATCTAGTGAGGAAAATACTATTTCAGCAGACACCTTATTTGTCCTGCCTCCTTGGATGTCTGTGTGACATCCAGGGTACCAGTAAAGTCAAAGGAAGGACAGGTCCACAAGACAGGCAGATATCTGCATTTCTTCTAGGCTGTGAATGGCACCGTAGCCACATTGTACAGTCTCACTAAAGAAAGCTGAACGAACACTGGGCTTACAGACTCTATAATGTGTCATCAACTTTCCAGCTTGTTTGACGAAAATAGAATGCAAAAGCTTCCCAAACTTTAAGTTTTGGGAAGTAAACTGTCCACATTTAAGTCATAATCAGTGGAGCTGGAAGAAATCCGAGAAATTGAGTCTAACTCAGGCTGCCCCTTTCCTCCCCCAGAGATTCTACAGATATCTTAGACAATTAGCATTTGGATTAAAAAAACTGGGGGAGAGGGGGGCAATGCTAACCACACTGCTCTTGTGCCAAATGATTCCGGGAAACAAGTGAACAAAGCAGTGCTGAGATGCTACAGGAACAAAACAAGCCTGTTCTCAAGACAAGCTTCTGTCTGATCATCCCATCCTCTTGCCAGACAGGTGATACTGCAAGGTTTTGAATTGTATTGGATTGTGCAATATTAGTGAGTCACCTAAAATCCATCATGTCATTGTCTTCATGTTATTTCTCCTTCATTTGCTGCCTGGATTTAGGGTCATTCATCATTAAGAGATCACAGGGGACAAACAGAGAGCAGTTTGACAAACTCAAGGCAAGCCAGTTCAGCTTTTTAGTCTCCCAGCCTGCAACGTGCTTAGCAAGTACAACTCAAACACTGAACAGCGTCACCTGCCTGCTGGGGCAATAATATCCATTCCTTCTATTACCATCTCTCTTTCAAACGTCCTGTCTTTCAGGCTGCTTATTTGAGGAGAACTGCTCACAATAACCCAATGCTGGGACAACCATGGGCTTGATCCTACCTTTAGGAGAGTGCTCAGGTTTGGGGATCTGGCGCAAAGGGCTGGGCTGGCTTGCGGAATACCGAGCGTGTTCCAAGTCATCAAGGAGAGGCTGTGACCTGCCAAGCCCAGTGGAAAAAAAAAAGTGTTGGGAGAAAACCTGAAAGGCATAACAGCATGGGAAAAGCAAAGTCTCAGCTACCGGCTTTGTCCCTATCAGTTTGATGCAAACTGTGTCTGGCCCAGACTTTCCACCTGCAGACCAGCTCCTCTGAGCACAGCCTGTTACTGTTTCTGCGGTGAGAAACGCACAGTATTCACTGCCTCTCACAGACCACTTCCATTTATTAACGGTTTCAAGTTGTCAGCAAACGAAGAATTTCCATTATGAAGTTTGATACAAACCTCACTCAGAAGAAAAGAGCAACATTTCAAAAAGGGTTTAACGCTTGCCCAGTTTTAACTCTAGAGTATTTTAATAAGATCTCTCTCAGTCTCAACCTCTTTGTTGTTTCCTTTAAAAACTAATCAAGAATTACTAGGCTTGGATCTGGATTGGAAATCAATGCCACCGGCGTCATTTCCAGGGTTCAGTCCCTCATGGGGAGCATCAGGCCAGGGTACCAAGTGATTCAGAAGCAGCACTGGCCTACAGCATGTTCCCACCAGCTCTGGGATGAAGTACTCCCAAGCAAAAGGTACTTGTTTGCAATGGGGTGTCCACACACAGCAGCGGGAGCAGTGTACAGGGCTTAACTGGGGAGCTGGGACCCAAGGGAGCAATTATTCCTTCCTGCCCAGAGATGACATTTGGTTTCACATCCCCAGAAGTTCCTTAACCCTCTCAATGTTTCTCAACAATTTAACAAATGTCACTGCACAAGCTCATCAATCTCCGTCAGTACCAGTCAGGGAGAGAGATATGGACAAATGCCACGAGGACAGCGAGTGACGCATGCCACCACACACCTCAAGAGCTCTGTGCTCTCCACCCCTTTTCAGTGCCAAAACCTCTGCTCTGTACCAAGCCCCATGTGGGTGGGACAGCCTGGTCACCCCACAACTCAACTTAGGACTCAACTTCTGAGCAGCTTCCCAAGCACATTTCCCCAGTTTTAATAGCCAGTTCGAGCTCACCTTGAAGACCTGTCACCTTTGTGTCGCTGAGTTTCAGGCCCTTCTTTTGACCTTGAGCGCGTGGACTCGCTTGCATCATGCTGATGGGAAGACGAAGGGAAAGCAGCTCATCTGTGTGCCTTGCAAGACACCACCCAGTGCACTGAGGCTGCCACAGCTCCATGCAGTCCTTTCATGCTCAGTTTATACACACAATTAACTACAGCCAGACACGTGTAAATCACAGTATCAGGACTAGTTTCCAGTAAACTAAATTTTTTTTTAAATATTTATTTTCAAGATAAATTTCAAGATTTATTTTCAAGATTTTCAATGAATATTTTCATATTTTCAAAATTTTTTCATTTGGAAAAAATTAGTATTTGCTCTAAATGAGACAGCACTGGAGGACCCATCCCAAAGCTGGGGTCGAACGCAGTCAGTGTGTAATGACTGTGCACATGGCTGGGCTGAGCACAAGGGACCAGCTGCACACAGCCATGCTTCTACAACCACTCGAACACAGTAAGGAGGCTGAGAACGTCAGAGCTACCTCCAGCTGGCCCCAACATTAACACAACACCCCCTTTAGCACCGTAACAGTGCAGACCATGAAATCTGTTTCCTATCACCTTCCATAGCTACAGAGGCTAAACAAAACCCCAAACCTACGCTTGATCCACTCACCACTTTCATTAGTAGAGCAAATTTTATTATGAAGCAGTGATAACCGGAGCTGCTGCATTGTCCTTATGTCTGTGGTGCACAAACAGAACCAACTACTGCTTTTATTGCTACAGTCCGGATTTCAGTGGAGAGAAGGTCCTACACCAGGAGGACTGCTAGTGCTTACGGGAGGTGACAAGGTGCTGTGAGATCCAGCACCAACCTCCAAGGCCAGAGCCCAAGGCTTACCTTGCTTGAGGCTGAAAGCCAAAGAGCATCTAACCAAGGAGGCGGCTCCAAGAAGCTTGGAAAGCAGCTGAATAACAGACAGCAAGACCCTTGGGATGCAAGAGTCTGCATCATTCCTTTTACTCTCATCACACACCCTCACCACCCTCTGGAAATAGGAATAACATAGCACTTCGTTTGTGGCACCTCCTGAAGTTTGACATACCTTCCAGTCTTGATCATGCCTCCTCTTTTCAAAGGAAGACTTTTCTCTCTCCTTCCCTTTCTTGAAAGCCTTTTTCTCCTCAGCCATCAGGAGTCGGGCAATTTCCTAGAAGGGAAAATACAGAGAACGTGTCAGACAGTTTTACTGCTCTTGTGGATTTGAGTTATTTAAACCTTTTCCCATGGACAGCTACTGAATGGGAAGGGTGCAGAGCCAGGATTTCACCCATCTGTGACCAGAAATCAAGTGACAGAGCGGAATTAAGACACTACATGTAGCATGCCCAGCAGATCCCCGATGTGCCAGAATCACATTTGCAGAGCCTTTCTGCCCTTTACCCCTTTTCCTTCAAAGCGGGGGTTCATCTCGCAGTCTCTCTCATAGTCTCCCTTGGGGCTCAGTTACAAGACACGCTCTTAGACAGCCATGAACTTCCTTCCTCTGCCATGGTTGCAACAGGCAGCGCAACTGCACGCTTGGCCAGCCTGAGCATATACATGAAATCCAGCTAGGAGCAAATCCCACCGGAGCCCTGAGCTTCCCCAACAAGGAGGGAAAATACCAACTACAGGGGCAGAGGAGACAAGCAGGATTTAGCAGCTTCAACAAGTAAAGGAATGCCGCAAGTGTTTTGACTTCTTGCTCACCTCATCTTGGGCTACTTGAGCTGCCTTCTGATCTGCCTCATTATCCTAAAAAAAAGAAAGGGGGGGGGTGGGAGGGAAGAAGGAGGAAAGGTGGGGAACAGAGACAAAAGAGTAACATTTCTCAATTACTCATACCTATTAAATTACTGGGCAGGGCAAGTAGATGCCCATACAAATGCGCTACCATCCTCTCCAAACATATGTGGGTAGCTCATTACTTACCTCACAACCCAACACCAAACTGTCATTTCGGCTTTTCAGCCAAGTTCTGCCCTCATCTATCTGCCAGGCCATAGCACAATGCATTGCCCACCCTGCTGCCCTCTCTCTCAAAGATAGGCACTCACCTGTCTCGCTTCTGGGCTGACCACACTGACTACAGGCCATCTTCACCTGCCTGGAAGTGTTCATTTAATATCACTCTGCTTCAGTCATTTAATTTTAGGGTGTTTATTTCAGAAAATAGGGCTCTACTGGCTGAATGCCAGCTGTCACTCCATCCGTGCGTATATGGGAGACAAAAGTAACTATCAGAATCCACAGTACCAAGACCTTAGGTCTCAAAGTCGCTACCATACATAAAAGCTTTGCAAATTAAAGTTGTCATCGCTGGCTACATTAGTTCCTTTGAGTTGACCAATGCACCCTCTCTACTTACCAGGAGCTCCTCCTCCTGCAGCTTCCGAGCAATCTCTGCATCAGACAACTCCTGTTCCCTTCGGGGTGTATCATACGCAGCTTGCTTCGTCCCCCTCAACTTGGCACCTATAAAATTGTCAGAGAAAACAATCAACTCACCCATTTCCCAAATGCTTTGATAAGGAAATCCCCACCATCTCCTCAGCCACCTGCACAAGCCCCACTCAAGGGGAGCAGAGACCACAACAGCATACCTGCCAGACTGCTGGCTTGAGAGTACCTCCAAGCTGAGGTGCAGCACGCACCTTAGGGAAGCTTCTCTGTGCATGCAAAAGTATCTGATACACCATGTCTTATATGACAAATGCAATATATGGTAGAAGAGGCCGTGCCCCCTGAAGCAGTATTTGCTGGCACGGTGATGCTAGCAAAGGAATCTTGATTTTTCACACTGTGTTGATACAGATACACTGGCAAAACTGGGCAGCAGAGAGCAACCCAACATCTGTTACAAGCACAGCAGACTGAACACACCTCTGGAGCAGCATGGGCTACAAAAGCTGCCTGGGACAGACTCACATGAGGTTTCTGACAATTTCTTCCATGGGCTGATGCATGAATTTTACAATTCACAGTGAGAAAACATCCAAGTAAACATTTCTGAAGTTCATACAAGGTTCAGTTCTTGCTTTGAGTATAAAGTTTTGTTTATCTGCGTTTATTTTAAAGTTAAATCATCTCCAAGTGATTTAAAATGTTGCATTTGAGAGTATCTCCATGGTCTATTTCCACCAAGCCATCAAGAGTCTCACTGTACCCCTGTTATAAAATGCACAACTTCACTCACATACAATGAATGCCGCCTTCTTCCATCTGCAGCCTGAACTGCATTGTTCAGGCATCTCAGACATCTAAAAGAGCTTTCTGCTTTATGTTCGAAGTATACAAACACTCCAGATGTCTGTCTCTCTTCCATCTCAAACTCAAAAGTTTCACGCCTCCAGATACACCATGTACACTTTTATTACAAATACCTGTTACATCTTACTGGGTCACCTATCAGTTTCCTTCAAATCTTGTAAGACCAAGGGAAAAACATGATGTAACCGACTGACCTCAAAAAATTTGCTGTGCATCTACCAACAAACTACCATCGTACTCCGCCAAGCATCCCCAAGACGTCAAATTGCAGAGGGCCAAAGACCTCATACATCAACATGGAATAAAACCATGGAATAGGAAATCAGCTCTTCTACAGGTATTAAAGGAGGCGTGTGTGTTTTTCTGCTTTTTGTTTCGTTGGAATTAACTGATCAATGACCTTCAGCGACTAACGCCCCTCTTACAAGCCATCTTAGCATCAGAAGAAAACTTCAGCTCTGGCATATTATGGTTAAGCATATGACCTGGCTTTTCCCAGCACACTTTGATCAATCCAAGCTGTGAAGAGCTACAGTCTCCAGCCAGCACAGAAACTCTGGCAAAAAGCACCAGCTTGGTCAGAGTTAAATTATTCAGAGTGCTTCCAAGGTCAAGGTAAACACAGTTTTACCACACTGGAAGAAACGACAGCAAGGCTCACAGGCTCCTGTACGGCATTACCTCTATAAAAAATAAAAATAAATTTCCAGGAATTGTTTGTTGGCCAGCCCAAGGCTGTTTTCCTCACACCCCAATTGGTGCCAGGCTTCATTGCAATAAATGTTACTTCCACATCACTTCTGCCTGCGCTCGGGGGAGCATGAAGCCCACCACGACCATGGCCCAGAGGAAGAGGATGCGAGTTTCTAGCTATTTTAACTCAGTGTGATAGGATACTGAGTCATTCCAATCCACACTGTACCATGGCAAATCACAATCTACTGATTATATAAAAGACCCGATTAACACCTTCCACTTCCCCAAAGAAAACTTTCGCATGATGAAGACAGAGAATAATTCTCCCTGCATCTCCAGAGACAGACACGCATTATCATCCCCACGAAGACTTGTTAGATGGCTTAAAACACAAGTTTCCCATGCTGTGACAGACATAGATCCAAGTCTCTCAACTCCTGCTTTCACCGAGACAGGTAACCCCCACTCCCAGTGTGGTTTTAAAAGCAGAAAGATGAATCTGGACCTTTAGAGCCCACCAGTCCCCAAGTATTATTGAACAACAAGAACTACACAGGTACACATTTCCTAGAAAAATCTGCTTGTACAGAATTTGACAAGAACCCCATCTTACAAATAGCACCCAGCTGGACACCTAGTGCCACTCCTGCACTTTGCCCGAAGGGCACTATGTTGCCAGGAGGGTTTTCAGTAAGAGCGGGATGGACATTGCTGGCTTGTTAGGGCTTAAGCAAACTGTCCTCACTTACAGCCCTGCATCCCATATCAACAAAATACAAGTGTAATCATAACATTTGGGGTTTTGTTAGTTTTCTTTTTTTTTCTCCTGTGCAAGGAGACCACAGCACAAAACATATAATGAAAATAAATGCTGGTGGTTGTTTGTTTGGGGGTTTTTTTGTAATTGTTTAAGAAAAAACACAGGATACCAAGGGCACCATTTCCAACAATACCTTCTCACTCACCCTCTCTGATGCCACGGAACATGTCAGGAAATAAACAGAGCAAGAACGTTAACGGTAAGAAGAATCTCACTAAATAAGGGAGAAACCTGGGCAGGATTCACCATGTACAGATTGCAGGTGGATACTGGAGACAAACATCTTCAAAGGAAACACCACAGATTTCAGACACCAGGATGGGGCATGCAAAGGTCCATCCCCACATGTATCTACGCCTTCCCCATCGCTTGGTTACCTGAATCTTGCTGGCAGTCTCCAACCTTCCCCTGAGGCAGAGCATGTGGGGAGGGAGAAGGTCTCCTGTGTCCCGCCCTTTTGCGGTCTCTCTCCTCACCCCTCCTATGATCGTCTCTAGGTCCAGCACCGTGGAGCTTCTCGTCATGCACCGTCCTGTGTGACGAGCGGCCCTGATGATGAGATCTGTGTTTTTCAGGGTGCACCAGCTGGCTGTGGCCCCGATGCCAGGTCTCCTGCTGAGCCTCCAGCTCCATCTCAAGAAGAGGAAGGTGCTTTTCTCTGTCTGGCCTTGATGGCTTTCTGCTGCGCCACGCTTGGTCTGCGAGTCCGTGCTCCGACTCCAGGTCAAGACCGAGAGGTGTCCAAGCCCTCTCCCTGCTGGCTGCTCTCCTCTCCCGCGGCTCCCAGCTATTGCTGTGGCCACAGGTGCTGCGCTCAGCCTCTTTTTGCAGGTCAAGGCTGGGAGGTCTCCTGGACCTCCCCTGGCTGGCCGATTTCCCCTCCTGCCGACGGCCGTTGCTGGTGTCACTCGGTTGAGACCTCTGACGATCCTCCGAGGGAGGACGCCCGTGTTCAGAGGCGCCGTCAGACGAAGGCGAGGGTGCTCCCCAGTGCTCTCTGCGCCGGCGCGTGCGCCTGTCACCACTGCGGGCCCTGCGAGGCTCGGAAACCTGCTCTCTGGGGTCACCCCAGGGGTGCTCTGAGCAACGGGGGGACAAACAAGGAGCGGGTTAGTGGTGTGGGGGTTAATGGTGGTCCAGTGAGGCCAGACTCACAGCATGCAGGCGAGGGAGCTTGATGCAAGAAGCTGGAAATGCAGGCAAAGCATGGCGGGGGCAGAAAGAAAAATAACGGGGGTCTAATGCTCGCAGGATGTAAAGAGGACGGAGTGAAACGGAAGGCTGGTAGCAGCAGGGCAGCACGGGAGGCCACGGGGTTGGAGGAGAAAGCACAAGTCCAGCCTGAAAGCATGTCCGAGCACCTCCTGAGACAAGGACACGTTAATATGGATGGAGATGAAGGACTTCTAATGCTGCCGCTGGGGCTGAAAAACAGCCAGCGGAGCAGCTCACCTCCTGATGAGGCATCACCGCTGCAGGATACTGGAACTGCGGGAGGAAGGCTGGCAAGGGAGGGCGCGAAAGGCAGGCGAGGCTGGGAGGCAACGGAAGGGCATGAGCTGAGTACAGGGTCAGGCTGGATCCTGGCTTAGGAGCACCAGTGCCTTGCCCTGGCTTCGGGCACAAGGTTTTGCATGAGAAAGAACAGCCTCATCTAGCAAGGGGGGGAAGACCCACACAAAGCAGAAGAGAAAGAGAGAAGTGGGATGGGATTTTATTTCTTTTTTTAAAAAGCAAGAACGAGATGATGGATAGCTGCAGCATCCGAGTATCTTCCACCACAGACTGCCACGTTTCTCTTGCAGACCCAGAAGTTTCAGGGCCTGCACTCACCCGTTGCTCAAATGAAAGTTTAGGCTCTGACTGCAGAGGGAGCTGTGGAAATTTAAGGGCAGGATAAGACTTCACAAGACCCAAGCTCCTGACCTCAGCAATGTAGCTGGAAAAGCCGCTTAGTTGGCAGATTGGTGGGGAAATGTTCTTTGCTTTTAGTTTCAGTAATAAACCTGACACAGCTATGAGAATGGAGCAGTCTCCCTGTATACAACCTGCTGATGGATTTCTTTTTCTATCAACCTATTTGCTAAGAAAAATTATTGCACTGAGTGAACAATTATTTCTACAGCAGCTTTTCACAATGAAGGTGTATTTCTGAAGAAAAAAAAATTCCTTGAAACAGAGGCCGATTTGAAACTGAACTAAAAAAACAAAAACCAGTGTAAGATTTTCCTCCTCCACTGCTAAGAGTTTTTTTACAGTATCTGAAAATATTTAAAAGAGATTTCATTGCTCATGAACTGCATTCTGTTTTAATAAATAGCTCTGCCTTCCTTACAGTCATCCAGATTTCAGAAAAAACCCCACCAAAACTGGATGTTCCCTTCAAGTCATTCTATTCAGAAAAAACTTTTTCAGAGCCAGCAAAAATACAGCCCACAGGAAATCCACCTTGAAAACAAAACGGTGTCACTTTTATCCAGAACAGGTATGTTTTTAAAAAAACAAGAACTGTAAGAGTACCCGCAGCAATTCCAGTTAACTCGTTGGGTTTTCTGTTCAGTTTCACATCGTTCATGTGATTTACAGAAAACAAATATCCAATAAAACAATTTAAGTGACTTACTGAAGAATGGAGACCAGGGCCTGAAAGCAAGAGTCAGTTTTTGAACGATACTAACAAGGGTCTAAGAATTAATTCAGTTTTCTCATTAAGGAAAGCTCAATAAATACAGCAGCAAAGAGCAGGAGATGACGAAAGAGCAAAGCATGGCCACGCTGCGAAAGGATTGGTGCAGGTAACACAACCATGCCAGACAGCCCGAGCGAAGATTTGCTTTTGGGGTATGTCGGGGCGATTAACTCCTCCCGCAGCAGGCGCCAGTTCCCGCGGCACCTTCTGCAGGAGCCTGTGAACACTCTTTGGTCCTGCTGTTGCTCTCTTAAGCATAAAGTGATTGAGCGAATGCAGAAATGTTTTTCATGGCACAGATACTTCTGGGAGGAACTCTGTGCCTTCTTTCATGTTTAGTTTTCCACTTTTTAAAAGCTCACATTGCTCTGAAGCAATAGCCCTAATCCACACTCCTCTTGGATGTGGATAAATTTTTATTCAGTCTCAGGGCAGACTAAAACCCAAAGCAAGCAAGGGCTTTTTTTTTTTTGCTTAAGTTCACAAGTAATGAGGATGACACAAACCAAGGATGCTGAAGCCTAATCAAACAGTGCCCAACTATTTAAGAGGTTCCAGATCAACGGACTAGATGATCCAGGCACCAAAATCCACTCCAGTCCTTTCTAGTTTTTAAGGAGCGAGGATCAAAAGCAGCACTACCATGAATGGCCAGGCAAAACACCTTCTACCTCACCTCTGAGACTACAGATTATCATAGGAAGGAAAATTAGACCCACAAGATATGCCACTCTCCAAATCCCAACCACAGTCTCAGTTCAGAGAGTCACAGGCTTTTGTCAGCTGATTTCTGTTATAAAAATCCACCCTGTCCCACCATCTCAACATGGCAACACTATTACCTATATTGTATTTTTTCAGGAACTTGTTCCATTTAATTCTGAAAAATGTAAGTGTGGGTTGGCCATAAGACTCCACGATCAAAGTCTTTCCCGGCTCTGTACACATAGCAGGATTTGTGGTCATGACGTTTCCACTTGGTTACTGTTTTGCGCTTTGGGCTTTGTGTTTTCTTAGCCATTCTTGAACTTCCTCCCAATTGAAACTAAAATACTTTGTGTAAGTTCAAATAAAAAGACACTCAAAATCGCCAATGGCATTGATGTTAAAATGAAAATTAAGAGGTTTGATCTTCATCTTCAAAATCTGTTAATCAAAAGCAGCCCGTCTCTTCCCCAACACATTTTTTTTTTCTTTTGAAGAGAGAACACAAGAACCACCACCAGTGCACAGCAAAGCCATCCCCAGATTGCTCCATAATTATACACACCCTGATTCTCTCTTCCCAATTTAAAAAAGGTCTGTATTCAATCATAAAAGCCGACCAAGAGAAAGCAATACAGCACTGTGGGTCGTATATTTTCCACAACATACAGTCCCGGATGATAATCACAGCAGAGACATTCTGTGGAGATGACCTTGTTATTCAGTAAGTCATTCAAAGCGGTTGTGCTAATTTTAATGCTTGGATACATACCTGCAAGGAGTTATTTTTGAAAGGCTGTTCCCTAAACCAGTATTTATTCCTTTATGCATGTAGCCATGCCAGCACCACAGATGAGCACACAGAACCGTTTCTCTTTGAATGCAAGAATGGAATTGAGTCTGCATTTCTCACACACACACTCGCGGTGTTACACAGAAGTAACTGTGGCTTATCAGTACCATCAGCTACTGTCTTTCTCCACAGGCCCTTTTAAAACATGCACACATGGGTGTGCTTGTACATAATACACACCACACCCTCCATCCCTATTCTTCAGGCCATCTTCTAGGACATCAAAAATGATAAAATTGTCTTCTCCGCTGCTTTTTTTTTTTTTAAATATTTCCTGATTGTTCTAGAATAAGATCTGATCCTGACCCTGGAAATTAATGCAATGCTACAGTGCTGAATACAGGACTGTAGGATAAGGGAAATCTCCTAAACTGAGTTGCCAGATCATCAGGTTCACCTATACTGCCAGGATCTTGATCCTTTATCTAGCAGAAATGTACCTCCATTTTCTGCATAATAGCTGTCTTCATAGAGTGTGTGTCCCTGGGATTCTGTGTATTGCTTCTTGCGCTTTTTTTCTTCCTGCAGTTCTTTCTGTTGTAGGAGACGGGCAATGTCCTGCAGAGATGGAAGAAAATACACATTACCTTTCCCCCCTAAAAAATATCTCCAGATTCTTTTATTCAAATTCTTTATTCAATTAGAAAAATCCTGATAGTTTAATTTTTCAGACATGGCAACAACAGGTTTACTCTCAAATTCAATGCCTGGGCTGGATGAGGCTTCCAACTTACTGGCTGACACAGGGGACCATCTCAGCAACCAATATTCAACCTCACCCACGCCCACCACTGAGCTTCCAACCCTGTGGCAGACTCGCAGGTTCCTGTTCCACCTGCACACAAGCCTGCAAAGCCTTAGTGGCCAAAGCATGGCAGAAGAGACTGCGTGTGCAACCTTGGGCTTTCAATAAGAATTTGGAAGTCACACAAGCACACACCCACTCACAGGAGTGGGCTGGACCCCGGCACTGGACTCCACCAGGAAAAGAAAAACACAGAGGCAAAGATGGTGTCCAGCTAATGGCACTTCTGACCAGAAGGAGTACCCAGAGCAAGTCATGAACTTGCTTCAGACGAGCTGTAATTTACAGGGACTGCAGGATGCCAGGCAGGGAAATGCATCAATTTGACAGACAGAGGCTGAAGGAAAAGAAAATCGAAAGGAATGTTAGGAAGAGAGGACTAGGCACAAGGCAGGAGTGCTGCGGGGACTGCAGCTCTTTATCTTCTGTCGCAGGTTTGGTAGATGTGCCATCAAAAAGAACAGCACTCCATTTTCCTAATTGCTTTTCCTTCGAGATGACTAATGGATCAACAAGGCCTAGCAACAGCAAACAGCTCCCTGGAGCTTGCTCATTTGGGGCCCAGGAGCTTGCCAAGTCAGTGGAGCTAGTCTGAAGCTAGGAAGAGAAGCTGGGAGATAGCAGCAGGACATGCTAGCCCTTTGGATGCTGTTCATTTAAGCCTCCCTAATCCTCAGGACCTTTGTAAAGCCATGCATGTAAAGTGTACATTGCAGGAAGGAAAGGCATCACAGAAATGCAAACAAGAGCCAACGCCCTCCAGAGCAAAGCCAGCACTGGAGGACATCGGCTGGGTGTTCAAGTGGAAACTGTTATTTCAGGATTCAGATCAGACCTGCTCAGTAACCAGCTTTGAAGAGGACCTCGGGATGCCACAGGCTCTTTACTACTACTACAAAAAAAATTCCTTCCCCTGACAAGGTTAACTTCTTCTAGCAAGTACAGTACGTCTATAAATATATAGGCATAAGCACTTTATCTCCAGGACTAAGACAGCTCAGGACTTGCAAATCCTCACAAACTGGACGTGTAGGCTTAGCGCTTCATTCAAAACCCCGCGCACCGGCCCGGAGCTGCCTCCCGCTGCGCACCGGCACGACGCTGCTAGCCACCGCTGACACCAGCAAGCTACCACTTATGCTGGGCAGCTGCTACACCCTCGTGTGTGGCAAACACAAGACCAGCCCGGCACACGGCCAGCACGGGTGTAACACGGCATGCCCTGCAGGGTACGTGTACAGATGCTGTGCCCAGGGCCACAGAAGGGGCTCTGATGTTTGTCACTGCCAAGCAGCAAACCTCTGGGGCACCACGCAGCCTCACGCACATCAGGTATCAGCACAGAAGCCCACCCTAAAGAAATAAAGCTGTGGGGGATCCTGGAAGGGAAACAGGATCAGTCCAAGCTCTCCAGAAGTCCTGTGGCAAGGCTGGGCAGTAGTGCCACATGCTGCAGCGTAACTCAGTCCACAGTTACATTTCAGCCACACTTGGGAACCTCCCATGTACCAGAAGGAAGAGAAAGAACAAATATGACTTCTACTCCTTGTTTTGAGCCACATTCATTTGAAGATTGCTCCCAAGAGCACAAGATGGTCAGCATGCTGGTTTGACAGGTTGCAGGGGCCTGCTGTCAGACTGCTGACATCCCAGCAGCTCTCTACGTAAAGCAGGAAGGAAAGGTGCCGTTCCCACGGCCAACATGAGTAGTATTGCATCCCCTTCGCCTTCCTGATAAAAATGAGACAGACCGTCACATTTATAGTACAAATCCTTTATCCAGAGTCTTCCTCCCACCCTTGTTGTTACAAGCTCTGCCTGGAAGCCCTTCCACATCTGCCTGGGCAGCCTTTTGGTGCTTGCTTGGGTTTAGTGGTATAAGAAGAAAACGAGGTCTTGCACAAGCAAACTGATGCATCTGCCAGGTAACAACAGATCCTTATTTCAGGCTGTTCCAGGAAACACAGCCTTGTGTTCAAGCCCTTCCTATAGAGAACATGCCTTGAGCATCTTAAGACTACTCAGACTTAGGAAACTATCTGTAATCAAAAATGGGGCCATACTTCAGGCTCACACAGGTGTTCCTCTGCTCTGTGGCTTTCTTGAATACCCAACCTGACAGGCTGACACAACAAAAAGTGATCAACAAGGCAAACCCTTTGAATACCACGGACAAAGCCCACTACTCACTCTCAGGCAACAGCTGCAGAGCCATGTTCTGAAATGACAAAAGGAATCTGCTAGCAAGAAACTGCAACGGAGTGTTCAGGCTGTGAAAGACTAAACTGAAGAAGAATTAGGGTAATGGAGAAGCCAGAGATGGATGGCTCGGCTGAGGGTTCTACTGAAATCTTTGCACCAGAAACCAAGAAATCACAACCCAGGATTCACCCAGAAGTATTACCTGTCTTCTTACAGGTAAAAGTGAGAAAGAAAGCAGATCTCAAACTGCATAAGCAATTACACTTTCCTACACACCAGGGCAACGAACACCTCAACAAGACCCATCTATTACTTGCCCTCTTGGTTAGCAAGGCCACTGGCATCAACAACCCTCGTGACCCTGGAGCATGAGGACTACCACTGTATCTTATTACTGTAACAGGACTCTCTGAAATCTCTCTGCATACCGAGACCTGTGCAGATCAGGACTGACACCACGCAAGCCAACTCCTGTGGCTAATGACTGAGAAATGCCCGCACTGAAAGGGCTGCTACAAATAGCCCTGCTATCCCTGCGGCTTAAAAGGTTACCTCGTCTTTTTCCTCTTGCCGGCGGCGCTGCTCCGCTTCAAATACCAGCTTCACTTGGATTTCCTGAGCGATCTCACAGTCTTGTCGTTCCCTAGAAGGCAAGGAGACAAGGATTATAGGCAGCTAAAGTCACAGGTATCAATCAGCCTGGAGAAAGGGATAGAAGAGCTGAAGAACCATCTGATTTACACAAAAGAATTATCACTCAGTATTAGTGCAGAGCCTGTGAATCCGCACTAGGGCTCCCTGTACTTGCTGCTGGCCAAATTTAGAAAACGGGTCCCAAAACATTCACAATCAGCTATAAAGCAAGAGAAAACAGATTCATAGGCAGTTTGCTAAGAAAGGAGGTAGCAACCATAGGAGAGGGTAGGCCAAGGCAGCACACAGTCTGCAAACAGTGATTCTGCGGAGCAGTTTTTGCACGCCTGGTGCCAAAGGAAGGGTTTAGGGGTCAGGTTAATGCAGACGTTTCTGGGAAGTGGTTTTCATGTGAAAGCCAAGAAGGGGACAGTGCAGAAACGCAGTAAGCAGAGGCTGGAGGTGGCAGTTCAGTAACGAATGAGAAATGCTGCTCAGGTGGGACGAGACACAAAAGCAGAACCACTGCCAAGAGGCAAGAGAGCGATAGGTACCCAAACGAGGGGTGAGGGAGCAATCGCCCGTTACAAATGCAGGAGGAACACAATATTGCATTAACTTGGGACAGAAAAAGAGATACCAGAGTAATTGAGACAGAAAATGAGCATTTCGTCTGCGCAGATAGACCAGGAAGGCTGTATTTCAGGGACATGGTACAGAAAGCATCTGCAAGAATTGTGCCACTCAGTCACGGGCTCTGATGCCCAGCAAACAGGCTGGAACGATGGCCAGGGGTTCCTTAGGGCAACCCAGAAAAGGGCTGCTACAGTGAGAAGAAAGATTAAAAGCGCTCGCTCTCAGCACTGTTGAAATTGAGCCAAAGACTAGCTCTAAACGGATTGGGGAGGGGGGATCAATCTAAGCTATCTCTGCAATTGAGACTACTGCAAGGCAAGGCATAGGAGATGAGAACGGGAACAGCAACAGGCAAAGCTTGCTTTATTAGAATACAATCTTTTGAAGAATATGCTGGCAATGATCAGATAGGTGATGGGAGGACTACCAAGAGCTTATTATGAAAGTCAAGCAAGTATTTCAAGAGAAACAGGTTCCGCTCTGTCAAAGTTGGACCGTGTGGGCCAGAGCAATTAGTTCTAGGCTTGAGCAAGTATCAGGGCATAAGTGACCTAGTGAACTCAGAGGCAAAGGACAGGAAGGGAGTCTACGATGTGAGTGGAGGAAATCAAAACAGTAAGTGTAGACAAGCACTCTCAGCAGCAAAGCAGAGAGAAGTGGCATGGCTGGAGCAGTCAGTGGCACCACAGAGCCTGCTTTTATAGACAGTGAAGAATGAGAGAAGCAGAAAGAGTGGATATGTGGCTTAGGGTGGGGAGGAAGAACACTGTGACAAGAAAAGGGTTTAGAGGACAAATGCCACCAACAAACAACTAATCTGTCATAGAGAAGGAAAAGGAACATGCAGCAGGAGGGAAAAGAAGCTTCTTTATTTTTGGCAACTGCGCTTTGGAAGCAGACCTGCAACTGCGTACTGCTTGTTATTTCTATCCCCTTCCCCGAACACATATGAACCCCAAGTCAGCGTCACAACCTAACATTTCCTTCCTTTTCCCAGACCACCACACTCACAAACACTTGTGCATACCCACAAACTGACCCACATCTAGAGACACCCTGGAAGGCACTCATGAATTTCAGTGTTTGTAGGGCTGGAGTTATCAATAGGTCAAACATCTTCAGTTGGGTTTACGGTTGGACTCAATGATCTTTCCAACCTAAATGATTCTATGATTCTATTTAGACATCAGTTTCTTTCATCCAGGTAAGAAAACCTGGCATTTTGTGTGTGTGCCTGTGTGTTTCACTTGATTCCAGGGAGAGAGCTGCTCAAAGGCTCATACAGCAGCAAATCTAGTTCTTGAACCTAACATATAAAAAGGGACCTTGGCAAATGTGGTACCAGCAGGGAACCAGAGTCCCCAGAAAAACAATAGCTGAACACGCAAATCCTGGGGAGCAGATTGTTAGTGGGCCTAAGATAGCAGATCTCTTATGAGCTCAGTCCCAGAGAACATGAATCCAGGTAGAAAATAAGTTAGAAAGGTCAGACATATCAAGGCATTGCATGTCTCCGGTTCCCCCAGCACCTGTGAACAGAGCTAAGGTGCCAAGTTCATCAGCACCAACTGACTTGCTAAATGCTTAAAATACATCTTATTGCAGACAAACAGGAGGCAGAAACAGCTAATCGTCTTTCAGAACCAGGGCTACAAGGTCATTGCCTCTCCATACGCAGCAAAGAACGCCAGAAGTAATGCAAAAGCAGAAGCATTTTACTGTTTCTGATGACATGCTTCTTGCAATACACCATATCAATCTCTAAGAATGACTGAACAGCAACAGAGGATTAGATTTCAGGTTTTATTCCTCAGTGGTAATTATATACTGAAGCTTGATTAGTTAATCAACATAAGCTAGTTCAAGTTTCAACTTGACCGAGCATAAGAAAATAGGTTGAAGAACTTTTGACAGCTATTCTTGTGCTTCAGTTTCTTTAGTGTGAGTTCAAGTGCCCATCAGTCCCCAGAAATCAGCCAGGGCAACATAAACGTCATCATCCCTGAACATCACACCCATGTGTCCCTCATCCGGGGGCAGCCAGGAGTGTTAAGAGTGTCAGGGAAACTCTACATCAGTTTAGGAAAAAGGAGGGGGGACGTCAATGTGATCGGAAAGCTCCCATTCACGTTGGCTGTAGCAAGTAATTGTTGCCAGATGAGGAGGAAAAAAAAAAAAAGGTTTAAGGGAACTGTTCAAAGGAACTGTTCACATTAGTATAACTGGGAGCAAAATGAGGAAAGAGCATATTTTCACAGTATTTCCGACAGTTATTTTAGCAACCTTGCTACTATGCTTGGCAGTGTGCAGGCTGCTCAGCTAGATGCGAGAGATGCTTTTAAAGAAGCATGAAAATAAGGTTTGATGCTTCCCTGAATTCTAAAAAAGTTATTTCTATTCCCTCATTTATCTTCACAAAGTCTTTCTGAGAGAATTTAGGATTTGAAAGACAGAAGAAAGCCCATTAATTTGAAGGACCTTTTTTTTTTTTTTTAATGTTCCCTGTTTCTAAAGACCACCCATTCCTGCCTCTGTACTCCTCCATCACCTTGCACTTGTCAAACTGTCCTAGACAACAGAGTATGCTACAACAGCGAGGATCATTTTGTTGCCAGAACACACTGATCTTGCACAAGGAAGAGACAGTAGGAACGTACAGAGAATTAAGGAAGAAAAAGATCCAATTACAAAAGGATGCTTCCAACTTCTTTTACTATTCTTGCAGAAGAGCTCATGCTTTCAGGAGCGGAACTGTTGCTGACACAACATTTTGCATCAGCAGTTCTGCCTGTAACTTGGCTCACAGAGTTAGTAAATCCCATTTTAGAGCCCTACAACAAGAAAATTGTTTGCAGTTCCCAGCAAGTAACAAAAAGGAATCATCTCTGCCATACAAAAGTAATTTTTACGTTGTCATTTATGTGCTCACGTCTCTAATTGGTAATGAAGACAGAGCTATTGAAAGAAAGCACAGACTTGAGATACACACATGTATCTACGCAGTGCTGCCTGAGCGTGCTGGGAACATTGAAAACAGGGGCCGATTTGTCACGCTGCAGTTTCAAATCTTTTATGAGCAGCTCCTTTGAAGCCAGTCCTCTCTCTCACACATCTGCAATACAGAGCTCTTCTACTCCATCGCTGTCTCTGCCAGACGAGCCACCCAGGGTTTGTGATGCACCACCAACTGTACCTGGTGGGTGGCATCACAGCCCCACCAGAAAGCCATCTCTCATCATCGGGATCTGACTGAGCCCTCTCACACAACCCATGTGTTATATCTAACACACTGCAAAAGACTAAGGGAGGGAAAACAACAACAAAAAAGAAAAGCACCAGTGTCAACTCTGGTTTGGAAAGTACGGCTTGTTTTGCCCTGCACTACCATGTTTCATTTCTACACTGACTCCTCAAAAGCACTCATCAGGCACAATGCAAACACGCCAATATCTGCCATTTCCACACAACAGCGAATTCACTGTTACACTATTTCTGAGGTGCAGTTTCTTCTTTCTCAGACTTTAGTCAGGGACAAGGTCGATGCAAGAGGCCAAGTTACCCCCCTTTGCCAACAGGCAGCAGAACAGGAAGGCTCCTTCCCGTGGTCAGGCAACAGAATCTAAGCCAGGACAAGCCCCAGGACCACCTACTACCACCCTCTTCTCATTACTCTGTGCCAGAGCCTAGTATCAGTACTTCTACAGCAACAGATAGTCAAAGGAAAAAGAACATAAAAGCAAAAGGCTGATCAACTTGAATCAAAGCAGCTGATTTCAGTGCTCTGACCAAGTGGGACTAGCATTTCAACAGTTCCATCCCAAACTCACAAGTCTTTTCGGTGTTTCTGGATTTGAGCACGTGCTTTCAGATCCTCCTCTTCTTGCAGTTGCTTGGCCACCTGCAAGTCGTGTTGCACAAGTCGATTACGCTGAACGTTTGTTGCCAAGTGATGCTCAACTGGAAATAAACACAGACAAGAACCCCCAAATCAGCCTGCAGAACTTCACAGTGTGAACAAGACAAAGCAAGTGGGAGGGAGATTCCAGGCCAGACAGATGGTTCTTGTAGGAAAATACCATGTAATAGCTCCAAAGGTGGGGAAGTCCTGCTTCACATTGCCTCATTCCAGCACTGAGGGGGCTGTATATGTGTGTCTGTTACCAAAACAAGATCTGCATATCTTCATTGCATCCAGATTTATAGGGAATGTTTTTTAGGCTTTGAATTTCATTTTCTGGCCACAGGAAATTACCCTAGATTAATAAAATGGGTCCAGAAGGGGCCACCAGAAGCCAGTGAGGATGAGCTCAACCAAAACCCTTTCTGATGGATGCCTCCCTAATTTGCTCTCAAGAACCTCCAGAGGAGGAAACTTCTCTTGCTCTCAACATAATCAGTTCCAGAATCTCACTACCTTTATATTTAGCAACGAAATACTACAGCAAGTCCTTTACCATACATGGATACTGCCTGCAAGAAAAGATGGCTACAGGAGCTGCAGCTGAGAGCCAGCTTAAATGAGTGGTCTCAGGTTCCAGCAGCAAGGGCACAACTTCAGCTCAAGCTGCACGCTTGGCAGGGTACCTGGAATGGTATTAGCACCTCGTACTGGCGGATACCAATGGTCTTGGCACCCAGCAAAGCAGAAGAGAGAGGCCACCACACCTGAAACTGCAATGCAAACATACACCAAGTAACAGATAAGCATGTTAAAAAAAAAAAAAAATCACTTTGAAGTTCCTGGCTGTACTTTCTTTCTCCTTTTTAAACGCTGCAGTGTACAGCTGCCCTACCTCGAAATGTCTTGAAAGGAAGCCTCCTTTCAAAAAGCAGGAACTAGCAATTCTGAAGTAAGTAAATAAACAGACCTCTTCTGGTTGCACCTCAGGTCAGCTTATAAAACTTGAAGCTTCCAAAATTGCTAGTCATTTCTAAAAACCTTGCACAGCAACAAAACCTCAAGTGCACTCCCACATGCAATTTTGTCATAAACAGCATAAACTCAACTCTAAAGGAGAGCACAGAATTGAAACATGAAATGCACCTATCTCTAGGGTACAGTGTGAGCTGGGACAGAACACAGTAGTGTTACAGGACAGTAAAGATAATAATAATAATCCATATGCCATTAGAAAGAATAAAAATGAAATAAAAGCAGGGAGGATTTTTCTTAGAAAAAACAAAGCAAGCCAGATATCTATTGGGACAAATTTGCTTCAGTTTATTCTAAAGATCATTGCTACTTACTCTCTTGCTCCTGTAAGTTATGGGCCAAGGTATGATCTTCCAGAACAGCAAAGTCTCGACACACTGGACGGGAAGGAAAGACAAGAAAATTAGCATCAGGAGGGAAAAAAAAAAGGCATCAAAAGAGCTATGGGCACTGGGGGAATACACATACACAGGAACTTCTGACACTTTATACTAGCCAAGGTCTGGACTTCTGACATTTCCCCCGCCGTTGCACTTGTGGCTACTGTTGCACACACTCACTACTTTGTCTCTGTTTGCATAACAAGCCTTCTCCACTCTCTCCTTCACCACCACTTCTTTAGTTTAAGACCGGAATTGCCCACACCACCGCTGGATCAGACTTTGTGTGCAAAACCCTGTATTCCACCCAGATTTATACCAATGCCCACACCGTGTTCAACTAAAACCAAGAGCGAGCATTCCTGACAGGTTAAAGACTCTGAGAACATTATTTGCTCTGCACAAAGGCACGGGTACTCTGCCACCTCTGTGGACCTCAGCAGACTGAGCTCCATGGCTCTTGCTCCAAGGCATTTCTCCCAGCTCAGAAATCAGTTTACAGTTGTCTCCTGTAAGCTTCATTGACTTTTTCAAATGCAGATGCTGGATTTGTACCTAGAACCCGGATACAGGATCAACCACCGTGTTACCAGCAGGGATAAGCACGGCTTCTTAAAAAAATGCTGAAAACAACCCAGAGACAAGCTAAACAGGAAGGGGATGAGCTCCCTTTGGCACCAGTCTGAAAGGCGAAGGTTTTTGCCAATGGCTATCACTTTCGCACTTGAACTTTCAAAGCAACTCTCTGCTCACACTGCGGGTTTATTTTTAACTTGTTACGATGGGCAGCGGGGCAACACCACAACCAGTCACACACGTCCTGGGATGGGGACACACACACGCGGCACCACCTCCGTCTTTCGGTGGGAAGTGCACATCAGCTTCTCGGCGAACCAAGGACAAACTGACCTGCAGCCCCGAACCGCGGGCTGGGGCGCAGCATGCGCCCCGCACACGCGCCGTACGTGGGGTTCCCGTCTGCTTCAAGGGGAGTTGAAGGCAGAGGCACTGCCATTTACACTGGCGAGATCTGTCACCTTTCCCCCCGCCTTGCAATGTGACAAGTTAAGCAGCTTTAACAGGACCCCGAACAGCAGTATCTCCCTTTTGAGACGTACGGCACACAGCACAGGACTACAAGGTGTCCCTGAAGCTGCAGAGGGACTACGAGCTGCCACCGCTGTGCTCCACAGGCAAAACCCCTGGGGAAGACCAAGGTTTCTCTTTAGCAGAGCACAGTGACAGCCTAGAAGAGAAAGTAAAAATAACCCCAAAACGTACTGAAACTACAAGGGGAATTTATGAGGAACCCGTTCATGAAAGGGTTCAGAGTAAGAGAAGAGAAAACATTTCCATCACCGCAAAGGGTGGAAAACACAAGGACAGAAGACGGCAGCCGCGTCTTCCCGAGCCACTGTGCCACAAGCCTTCCCTCTTCTCACATTGACACTCGTGCTCTGGTAGAGAGGCATCGAGATGTCCCTCTGCGCCCAGGTGTCTCCACAAAGTATCTAGAAGAGTTTCTAGTCATGACTACCAAGAGGTCAGATAAATGCTTTATCCTTTATCGCATTTAACAAAATTTTTAGTGGAGTCTTTCTGCACTGGAGGGTGTCTTACAGATGACAAAAGCTCCTACCGGCTAGAGCAGCACTTCAGGGAAGGAGAGTGGCAAGCAGCAGGGTGGAGATGAGGACAAAGATTACAGTTATACGATCCCATAGTGACTCACTTTAAGCATATACAATTCTGGATGGTGCAATTAAGGTTTTGTTGTTGCCTTTTATTTTAATTGGAAATTCTTCTAAGAAAGGAAAGAGGATGCAAAACACTAAATAGCACTGAAACACTTCCAGTGGGCATTTGTGTATAAATAAAGAAACGCTGCCTTCAGCCACAGATCTGGCAAAGCCACAGCTCAGTTGCAGTCAGCAGTGCTATTCACAGGTGACATACCCAGGGTGCTTGTTGGTCAGGAACATGTGTTTTTATGGGACACGGCAAGGGAATCTTGCCCATAGACTTTATTTCTGTGGTCCCTAATGCTATTTTCAGCTTCATAGCATGATTGTGGAACAACCACCTTCTGCGTACAACAAGCATCACCTGGCCTGCCGGAAGGGCACATCCCACTCGGAGGTGTGAGCCCTGCTACCGGTTCAGAGCTAAGCAAGACACCTCGATACAGAGCCACAAAGAGTCTGCCCAAATCTAGGGCTGTGCTTTTACCATCACATATTCAAGAAGCAGCACTTGCACAGTTTAAAAAAAAAAGGGGGGGGGGGG